AGCGAGACTCCGTCTCAAAAAAAAAAAAAAAAAACTAGGCTACAATTTCTTTCGACTTTGTAGGCACTGACATTATATAGATACTCAAGTCAACATAAGATCTGCACATACTTAATTTAAAAAGTAAGACATGCTACTGAGTCATCTCTTCTAAATCAAAACGAATGTGGAAAGTATGAGTAAAAATGGAAATAATTTAATTTTATAATAGGAAGAGGTGATTCTTCTTTGTTTTTAATACATCCTATAATGGAAACAATTTATATTTTATAATAGTAAGACAGGTGTTTCTTTTTAGTTTATTATCTTTCAAGATGGAGCAACTTTATTAATTAGAATTTCAGGCCAAAGTCCTTCAGAGATGGCTGGTACATCTTTTTTCTATAATGCCCCTCTTCCCCTTTTTTTGGGATAGGGTCTTGCTCTATCACCCAGGCTGGAGTGCAGTGTTATCACAGCTCACTTCAGCCTCAAACTCCTGGGTTTAAATCACCCTCCAGCCTCAGCCTCCCGAGTGGCTAGGACTATGGTGCATGCCACCATGGGTGGCTATTTATTTATTTATTTTATAGAGACAGGGTCTGGCTATGTTGCCCAGGCTAGCGGTCTTGAACTCCTGGTCTTGAACTCCTGGACTCTGGAGTTCCTGAGGATTCAAGTATTCCTCCTGCCTTGGCCTCCCAAAGTACTGGGATTACAGGTATGAGCCACCGCATCTGACATGTATAATGCTTTTTAAAAATCTAAATAAAAATCATAAGAGGAAAAAAGCTGGAAATTTGGAAGACATCTCTGATTTTTTCTTTTCCCACATTAATTACATAGAAACACTCTTCTCTGGAGATGGCCACTTGGAAATAAAAAGGCTTAATTTCTATATCATTCTTAACATCAAAATAATTCCAAATACATGGCATTTTTAAACTAAAAAAATCCATAAAATAATAAAACATAGGTTAATTATCTGTAACAACTGACTGAAGCAGGACTTTCAAAACATGACATAAAATGCTTAAGTCATAAGAAAAAGACTGAAAAAATTGACTACATACAATTTAAAACACCTGTATGGCAAAATACATAATCAAGTTTAATAATAATTTGGGAAAATATCTGCAACATAAATGATAGACTGCTAGTTCTCTAAAATGCAAAAGTTATTCAAATCACTGAGAAAAATACTGGCAGACAAAATAAGCGGACAAAAGACTGGAAACGCAAATGATGGAGGGAAAAAAGGGCGGAAAAACACATAAACAAAGTACTAAACTCCCTCCCAAATTAAAAAAAAAATTAAGATACCATATTATTTTGCTTAAAATGAAATACGACATACTGTTGGTCAGAAAGTGGGGAAATAAGCATTTTTCTCACAGGTGTTTGTAAAAAAGTTAATTATAATCATTTGTCAAAATGTCAAAATTTTAAATTCACATACCATTTTAAACAGCAATTTCAATTTCAAATTTATCCTACCCATATAGCAACAGAAACATAAAACAATGTATATAAGATGTTTACTCTAGCACTGTTAGCCAGAACCCTAAAATATAAACAACCTGAATGTCTACCAAGGGACCTGATTAAATATTTTGTATTATCATTATACTAGAAATATTATGCAGCCACTGACAAGAATGAACCACTTCTATGTATACTGTTTATGTACTATTAAGTGAAAAAAGGAAGTTCTAAAACAGTATGCATAGTATGCCCTATTTTAAAAAAATATGCTTATATTCCATACCTGAACTCTATGTAAGCGTGTGTGAACACTGAGGAAGGAAAGAAGGAATAAAGGAAGGAAGTATAGAAGTTTATCGATCCATAGCAAAGACCATTGAGGGAGATGGGAAAGTAAACCAGTAATTAAAGGGAGGTAATGCCCTGAGTGTTGAAGAAGCATAGAGAAGGACAGCCAACTCAGCTTGGAGGTGATAAAATAAAGCTGAACAGAAGAGGTGATTCCTGAGCTCAGTTTTGATGGAATATATAAGCAAAGCAGAGAAGGCAGGCACAGCTTGTAAAATATAAGCATAAATGTTACACTTCCATTCCCCTTGTCTACTCTACTTCAGCTGTAGCTACATTAGGGTTTGACTACTGGGGTAGGAGTAGGAGGAGAGGGAAGCCCTTTAAAACTGTAACCCTGCTTCTAATCTGTGCTTATTTCATTGTACACATTAGTTCCATATTAATATTTACAAAATACTGTTTTGAAAATGGCATTCTCTTTCTCAGAAGACTTTTACATTCAAATGTTATATTGTATTATATCAAGTACCATATGTAATTATCATATAGTTGTCTGAATTACAGTTGTATGTTATTTTGCATGAGTACGGACTGTACTACGATCCATCTTCTCTGCTCTAAAACAGAGATTTCTATGTGTAATAAAATGTATTAGAATTTTCCCAAATATGCTCAGTTTTGATGGGTTTATTCATTAATTTTCTAAAGGCATGAGAAGGTTTTAGTGCCAAATATTATATTAATTGAAAAACTTGAACTTAGTTTCTCTATCAGAATGGTAAACTGATCTTGGAGCTCCTAACTAGAAGCATGCTTACCATCTACTGTCTGTGTGACCTGCTCAAAGAGTAGATATTTCATGTCTACCAGAATAATTTTCTCTGCTTTAAACTGCTTTTATCACTTGATGTTTTTGAAGAAAGGTTCCTCACTATGAAGATCCCTATAAGTGTATTTCCTTCATCTATATTTTAAGATATTTTGTCACTTTGATTAAATAAGTAACCAAAGAATGTTACTGGCCGGGCGCGGTGGCTCAAGCCTGTAATCCCAGCACTTTGGGAGGCCGAGGCGGGTGGATCACGAGGTCAAGACATCGAGACCATCCTGGTCAACATGGTGAAACCCCGTCTCTACTAAAAATACAAAAAATTAGCTGGGCATGGTGG